TCTACATACACCTCTATTGTCCTTCTAATCTATGACTAAAATATCTTGTTCACTAGTCATTGGTATGTTGCTCTTGAATTTTTTAGTCCAAAGGGCATGACCCTGTAGTAGTAGGTTCTCTTTGGAGTGATGAAAGATGTTTTCTCCTATTCTGAAGGATACATGCTAATCTGGTTATATCCAAAATATACATCTAGGAAGGTGAGCAGCTCATGACCAGCAGTGCCATCGATGAGGATGTCGATTCGCAACAACGGATAGTGTCCTAAAAACATGCCTTATTGAGCTTAGTGAAGTCTACGCAAAGGCGTCACTGTCCAGCAACCTTGGTCGCCATTACCACATTTGATTGCCAAAGCGGATAGGCTAATTCTCTAACTATCCCATTTTCTATTAGTTTTTCCAACTCTTTGTCCATTACTTGCGCTCTTTCAGTGGAGACGCTCCACAACTTTTGGCGAACAAGCTTATAATAGGGATTGACATTGAGGCAGTGGGTGGCGACCTCAGGGTCGATGCCCTCGAGGTCCTTGTGTGACCATGCGAAAATGTCCATATTTTGCCTCAGGAATCCACGAGTTGGAGGGCTAGATCCTCAGTAAGAAAAGAGCCAATGTACATCTTTCTATCTGGAAACTCCTCATCCAGGACCACTGGTGTGAGCTCTTTCACTGGCTCTCCTCTCTCTAGTGTGTCATCATTTTTGGGGTCAAGCACCTCCACCTGTAGGGTCTCTTATGGCTTCTTGGCCCATATGGAGGAGACATAGCATTCTCTTGCCGCAACCTGATCTCCTTGAACCTCTCCAATTCCATTGGATTTGAAAACAGAGGATGAGATGGTAAGTGGAAGGTACCAATCTTAGGGTGTTAAGTGCGGGTCACCCTAAGATGACATTATAGGGCGACATGCAATCTATCACCAAAGAGTTCACCATTATCGTGGAGCTTCGAGGTGCTGTGTCGACGATGACTGGCAGGGTGATGGAACCTAGGAGGTACACCTTCTCCCCTAAGAATCCAATGAGAGGCGACCTGATAGGCTACAACCTCTCCCTTCCAAGGTGGAGCTTGTCATAGGATTCTGCGAATAGGATGTCCACAGAGCTACCGCTGTCCACAAGAATCCTTCGTGCTTGAAAATTGGCAATAGTCATTGTTAGTACTAGTGGGTCATCATGGGGGTTCTGAATTCCTTCTAGGTCTTTGTCTGAAAAGGAGATGACCTCATCATCTCTTTGCTTGTGTGACTTGGATGGACGCAAGTCATCGGTGTGTCTAGCCTTAATAGTGAGGGCCTTCATGGCTGAGTGGGATTCTTCCCCTCCTACAAGCCCTTCGGAGACAGTCTGAATTTCTCCAAGAGGTTGCTGGTCATCTTGATTATTAACTAGTGATGGTGCTTGGCCTCTACCAATGACATACTGGCGTAGCTGACCACGTTGTATGAGCTCCTTAATCTTTCTTTTGAGTTCATATTAGTCGTCAATGTCATGGTCGTGGTTGCGATGGAAGCCACAATACTTGCTTGGATTCCTGTGATTTGGGGGAGACTTCATTCTTTCTGGCCACCTCATTGCAGGGTTATCCTGGATCTGAAGTAAGATGTACCCAATAGAGGCGTTGAGTGACATGAAGATTTGTCGCTCTTTCTGAGGGGCAAGACTAAGCTGGTGTTTGTTGGGCACCCTCTTTGTCCTACTTCGTTTGCTTTCTATTTCCCTCTTGTCATCAAAGTATCTCTCTTTCCTTTCCTCCCCTGCTCGTAGGGATTCACATTGCCTAGCCTTGGTGATGTCCTTAGCATTCATGTACTTTTGAGCTTTTGCCAATAACTCTGACATGCTTTTTGGTGGGCATTCATTACTAAGAAGAGGAAACTTGATGAGCAGAAACATCCCAAAAAGGCGGTCATGGTGACCTTATTATCAGACTCCTTAATCTGGGGCACCTCCTTGTTATAACGAGTGAGGTAACTCCTTAGGCTCTCGTCTTGATCATGCTTTATGCTGAGCAGGTGGGTGGCAGACTTCTGGTGGTGCGTTCTCGAATGAAGGATGCAACAAAAGATCTGCTTATTTTGGCGAAAGAGCCTATAGAGGCTGGGGTGAGCTTGAGAAACCACTGACAAGTAAATCCTTTCAGGGTAGTTGGGAAGGCTCTGCATATGATTTCATCCGAAAAATTGTACAGCTGTATTAAGGATTTGGACGTGTCTAGGTGATCTAGCGGGTCTTTTGTGCTATCAAAGGCCTCCACCATAGGCATTTTAAATTTCTAGGGAAGAGGATGATTTGCCACATCAGCTATGAAAGGCGTGTCAATGTGCCTTATTAGGTACTCAACAGTTTCAGGTCCTTTTGCCTTTATGGTGTTGAAAACGTCACCAAGTTGGTTTTGTACTTCCTTGATTTTCTTATCCCAACGAATGATGACTCCTTTGAAAGGGTCATTGAAGCGGATCTTGTGGTTCAGACTGTGGTTTTTCCCCTCATCTTCTTGGAGAGGAGGGTCACCAGCATGAAAGGAAAGAGCTGGTAGATGAGATGGAGGGGCCACCCTTGGCACTGAGAAGGAGCTCCCTGGTGCTGCAAGGGGGTGCCCTTGTAGCACCAGGGGAAAATTAAATTTGTATTAATAAAACTTTAATTTTTATTATATGTAACATGATTTTATCCGTATTATAAACTTTATTGTTCAAGATTATTTTGTTTTGAATTTAATTGTTTTAATAATTCTTAGATTTCTAAAACTATTTTAGGACAATTTACCTATATTAATAAAAACATTGATTTTCATAATATGTGACATAAAGTTATTTAACTTTTCCGAACATGAATTTTTCTATATTATAAATTTTATTTTTCATGATTATTTTGTTTTTAAATTTATATGTTTTAATAAATCTTAGATTTTTAAAATTATTTCAGGTCAATTTATTTGTATTAATAAAACTTTAATTTTTATTTTATGTATCATGAATTTATTTGTATTATAAACTTTATTTTTCATAATTTTTAGGTGAATTTATCTATTTTAATAAATCTTAGATTTTCAAAAAAATTTATATCAATTTATCTGTATTAATAAAACTTTGTTTTCCATTGCAAGTAATATGATTTTATCTTATAAACTTTGTTTTCAATATTTTTTAGGTGAATTTATCTATTTTAAAAAAACTTATATTTTCAAAACTATTTTGTCTATAATAAAAATAAAAAAAATTGATAAAATTCACTGTTTAAAAATTACATATATCAACACTAGTTAAATTAGGTATATTAAGTCCCAATTTTAATTACCAAAACAATGAAACATGTTGAATTTGTACTATTTGAGACATTATAATTAGATAAAATTTATTGTTTATTAAACAATAAAATGTGACATATTTCATAATTTAATTAGTGTGAAGTTAATCCTATTTTCGCGGTCAAAGATGCACTCGAACATAAATAAAATACAAGCAACTACCTACAAGTAATACTATCACACTTGCTGGACCAACAACTACAAGCATTCCAAGTCATAGGCATAGACCACTGAAAAGAAAGCATTACCACAAATTTAAACTTAAGCATTCAAAGTCAAGGTAAAGTTGTCCCCAGACTTTGTAGTAGGGGGGCTCATCCACTGGGCAGTCCTTCTTTTATTTATTATTAGTTCAAATTTTTTAGGGTAAAAATCATAGTTAGCCTTTGAACTTTATTTACGATTTTAATTCCTTATTTTTTAATTGTCTCAATTTAATTTCTCAACTATAAATTTCATCTTAATTAAGTCATTCTATTAAATTTTATCGTTAGATCAACTAGAGACTAGTCCAATTGTAACAGTGAAAATAAACATAATGACTTAATTGAGACAAACTTAATAATTGAGTGATTAAATTTAGACAATTGAAAGTTTAAGAACCAAATTAAAACTGAAAGTAAATTTAGGGACCAATTATGAATTTTATCTAATTTTACCATTGTTATAAGAAAGATACTATTGAAATATAATTTGATGAGTTAATTTGAGAATCTTACATACCATCATCAGCGAGTTTTTTGGCTAATCCAATGATAACAATGCATTAAATCTCTAAATTTGATATCCAAATTAAGTATATATAATATTGTTGTTGCAAATTTTTTCCCTCAATGTGACAAAGGTATATATATATATATTTTGAATATTTTTTTTTATCAAACAAAAGCCCAAAAAGACCAAAAGGTATCATTGACCAACCCTTTTCACTTCCCAGCCATCCTATTTACCGTGGCCGAAACATAGATGACCACCCGTTACCGTTACCATTATTGCTCGCATCTTAAACTTAGGAAAAAATATTGGGTATTTGTAAGGCAGGTAGTGTCATTTAGTGTTTACACCTAACAAGAATTTGTCACACAATTAGTTTATGGGGCCTATAATTAATTTTTTTAATAAAATTTTTTTGATGAAATGATAGAGTAACAACCATTTATTCGACTTGTATAATTTTTCATTACTAATGTATGTCGAATTAAATTACTATTACTAGGACTCGTATAGGACTGCAATCCTTCCTCTAAGCTTAGAGTTGAGAGAGAACCGCCCCAAACCAACCAAAAAAAAAAAAAAGTGTTTAAATACTAATGTAATACTTAAGTTTAAATAATTACTCAATTTATTTATTAAGGAAGTTCTGGTTCAGAATTGACCGGTGAAGGTCTTGCTTCTCCTCGAAACAATTCAACTGTATTAAGTATTAATCGGTGGTCGTTGGACTTTCATTTTCCGTTAGTTTGTCGATCGGGGCCGTCATCGTCGTTGTTGGGTCGTTTGATTAGTTCATTTTGTTGACTTCACTTTAAGCAACAACCACAACCGTCTATCTCTCACTCTGTAGAATCATGCGTTTGTTTTCTTGTTCTGGGTCTTGGCTAAATTGCCTGTATAACTTCGCGGTGAAGAATTGGAGTTGAATGGGTATGCGGGAAAGCTTTGATTTTGCGGGAAAGCTTTGATTTTGAAATGGGTGTGAAGAGATGTTGGAAGTTTTCGCGCTTGGAGGGGAAAAAATTGGGCATTTTGCCAAGAGTTCTATTGAGTTTAGGGTTTTGGTTTGCGATTTTTCAGTCGGTAAATGGCCTGAGGCCTCTGCGGGAGAGAGCTCGTTCTTGGGGCGATGAGGTTGGTTTTGAGTTATACTTGTTTCTTTGTACTCATTTGTGGGGTAGTCTTTTGTTTGATTATGTTCAATACTACTATTTTTTGGACTTTGGACCAAGATTATGTAATTTGAAAGTGCGATGTGTCCAATTTTGTATAGAATTTTTTTTTTTTTTTTGTGGTTTACTGTGCTTAATTATGTTATACCTAGCTGTTCTTCGTACAGTTAAACGATAAATTAGGAATAGAAGTAATGAATTTAAAGATATAAAGGTATTGAGAAGTTATGGATATCATGGTTAAAGATCTGCATGAAGTTGTTATTAATGGCTTATAACTTTGGGGTTTTCAACTCTGTAGGAATAATGGTTCGGTTAGAAGACTGAGGCTCTAGTATACTTGTATGGTGTTAAATTGAAAATATCGAAAATAGATTACTGGTTTGGAGAAATCTTCGAATTGTATGTAGTTAGATTGCCAGTTACTGGAAGGAAGGAGATTTTAAATTAAATTCAATTTGACTTATTTATCAATTTTATTTCAACAACTTGAATACTGAGCACTTGAATTTTTAGTTCAAGATTTGCATTTTTACCAAAAAAAGAAACCTCTAGGAGAACTGCATTAATATATTAGCCTTATTAAGGATTGAGGACTTCAAACAGTTCTCCCATTCCTGCATGTTGTTTCACTAGTAGATATCTTCGGAGATCTGGATATTGCTTTGCTTGGTTTAGAGGATTTTACTTCGTGTCTCTTCTGATTTCTCAATCCAACTAACGATCGTCATTTCAGAAGCAGAAGTGCAAATCAAATAGAATAATGGTTCAGCCGATTACATTACAAAACAAAGTGAATTTAGAATAGGCATCTGCATATGTTCTGTGTTGTGGGTAGTATTAGATGCCACTTCTAAGCCATTGCTTTAAGATGCAAACGCACATCTGATTGTTTGGATGGTTCTTTTAATCTCCACTTTCTCATGAATGCAAATGAGTAAAACAACATATTTTATCACCATACCAGCTTAATGAGATGGAGCTAATTAATGGCGATTTGGTGGCCAAAGCCTTCTTTTATGTCGGGTATTGATACTGATCATGCTTAATCTAATTTCTTGACGAGTGTCTGTTTGTTGAATCAATGAACAAGTTCATTTGGTCATTTTCTTTAACATTGTATGTGTCTTGGATATTCAGAAGGTCAGTCATATGAACTCCATGTTTTTCATTAGGGGATAAATAGTCCCAAAAATGTTGTGCACCTTGTATTGCTTTTATTCCAAGCAGAAAATAGCTTTTGCTAAGCATTGAAACTTACTTCTCATTTCTCTTCAGATGTTACCCATGTTGTTACATCCGCAGATGACATGTATCTTGTGGCAGTTTACTAACTTTTTTTTTTCTTTCACTTATCCCTATTTGTTTAGGTCACATTTTTTTTGTCACCTATGGAAACCGAGGTTTTAGGTTTTTCTGTATTCTTTCTTACTTCTTATCAACTTAAGGAGAAGAGAGAGCATACCTTTTTTCCCAAGTTCTCGCTTACTTGCTTTATGTATATTTTCAACATTTGGTTTTAAACTTTTAATGATATATCCATGTTACAAATTGTTTGGCTGCATTTGAGTGAAACCATTTTTGCTATTATTTTCATTTGTAATTTTTTCTTTGGTACCGCTTCTTGCAGTGGCTTTTTGTAAGGAAAGATGAGAATGATTTGGGTCCGTTTTCTGCTTGGAACATTACAGGAACCTATAGAGGTTTGTAAGTTCTCTAGCTGTGAATTAATTTTCCAGTTATTGCAATGAAAGGGGAATTCCTACATTTTTGTTTCTTATTTAATTTCGTCAAGTCTTATGCATTGCTTCTAAGATATACTGTCAATCTACGCATAGCTGATCAACCAAGGAAATCTTTTTTACTTTTTTCTTGCTTCTCATTTATACCTTAGCTCATTGATTATGAGTTTCATATAGACCTTCAATCCAAACAATAAGGAATGCTTTAATGGGAACTATCAACCTAAGGATATGCAACTCCCATCATAGGCATTTCTAGCAACAATAAAGCATGTTTTTGTAGGTGTTATATGTTACTGGGGTGTATAGAAAAATTGAAAATCATGAAAATCATATTGGTCAAGTCCGATATGATTGGGCTCCTATTGAAATGATAATGATACATGTTCCACCAAATCCAAGAGTCACACACGAATTGTATTGAATCAGTAGAACTAGGTAGTCTATTCAGGTTCAACTCGAATGACTAGGACAAACTCGTAACCGAGTTGGCAGTTTCATTATGAAATTGCATAAAATAGTGAAAAACAAAAAATAAGAAGAAATTGAAGGAGAAAAAATTGAAAGCAAACCTGTAAAATCAAGCCACTATGAAACAAGGCTACCTCTCTCTTCTTATTCTGTTATAGCCCTCACCAGCTGGTGTGCTCGCGTCTCCTCGACTTGTATTGGAGCTTTGGTCATTACCCACCAACTCCTCTCGATTCTCATTCTCACTTTCTCTCTTTGTGTGTGAACTGAAGGGCTGAATGCGTCGGTGCTAGAGAATTTGGTGGAACATGTTTTTGTTTTGGAACACGGAGTTTTTTTGGGTTTGCTGAAATTGGAGTTAAGACTTAAGAGTGTTAGACGCTATTAATTATAATGTCTAAGGAATGTTGGGGTATCATGGTTAACTAAATTATTCAAAAAAATTATAATGACTAAAAATATGTCCGATGAGTGAAGGAAGAACATTTTAGTGCCTATAGAATAAGCGAGATGTACAAAGTTGCATAAACTATCGAGGTATTAAATTAATGAAATTTTGGAAGAGAATGATTGAGTCAAGACTAAGGTTTGAAACAACGATATTTGAGAAATCAGTTTAGATTTATGATTGGGAGATCAACAATGAAAGTTATATACTTATTTCGGAGATCAATAGAGAGGTATATGGAGAAAAATAAGGATCATCATATGGTTTTTATAGACTTAGCGAAGGCATGTGATGAAGTCCCTAGATATATATGTTAAAGGGTTCTAAAGAAGACGAAAGTTACTATTAGGTATATTGATATGATGAAGGATATGTATGTAAATGTGGTGACTTAACAACAACAAGAGAGACTAATGAATTCTCAAGACTCTGTCTATTGCTTATAAATCAATTGATTGGACATATTCATGATGAACTCCCATGGTGTATGTGTATGGTATTTGAGGATAATATATAGTCGATGAATGTAAAGAAGGAACTAGTCATAAACTAGAGATATAACTATTCTAGACATATTAAAAGGATTTAAGGTATTTGAGGACATATTCTAGAATCAAAAGGATGTAAGATAAGTAGGATTAAAATTAAATAGATGGACTGTAACTATAGTAAAAGAAGGAATCTAGACCGAGAAATAGTAAAAATTGAAGATTGAGAGATACCGAAGAGTGAACTCTTTAAATATTTAGAGTCTAACTCATTGAATTAAAGTAGGATAGACTAAGTGGAGGAATGCATCCGGTTTATTGTAATAGATGTATACCCCTTTAAGCAAAAGTTCTGAAGAATGACCATAAGACCTGCTTTGCTTTATGCCTTAAATGCATCAATGTAAGTAAGTGAAGGCACTATATTGATTGCTAGTTGTGTAAGGGGATAAAAAGAATTTTTACTTCTTGGAATATGACAAGACTTCTTGGAGTATAGGCTTCTAACACACAAGATTCAACTGTATGAAATTTATAAAATAAGTTGGAACAGACATACAAGTTGCAATACTAAGGATAAAAGCAGAAGAGTTGAGACATATATCTGACTCTGTATTTGCAGACACCTGATCTTAATATTGCATAATCTTACTGCTTTTAATTCTTCACAAATTTTAATTTACATGTCAACAAAAGATTCAAAATGGTGGAGACTGTCCTGTAGAATAATCCAGAGAGCATTCCTTTCTTGCTTCAAATTTGTGGAAATGGCCTCAGGATTATCAGCAGTGATGCAGCACGTTAAAGGCAGAGCACATTAAAAATTCTGCATATGCACTAAAGGAAGGCGGAGCACATAAAAAATTCTGGATATGCACTAATACTTTACTGTATCTTCCTCTCTTCCTTCTCCTCTCTTGCTGCTTAAACTAACTACACACTTCCCTAGCAGGGACTGCACTTGGGTTACATGCCTCATAATTTTATTTTGCCTCCTGAAGACCAAAACAAAACCAAAATAAAAAACCGAAACGTTCAGTTGTTGACTTGATTGGCTTTGAAACTTATCCTCATGTATCATTTGTTGGGTGATAAACTCAGCTAAATATATTACAAAAAAACAATTTCCAGTTTTGAAGTAGTAAATTTCAATGGTTTGGTATTCATGTTGGAACTGATTATAAATTTATCTGTGCATGTGAGATGCAGGGTCTTGGAGGTTCCTAGATTCCACAAATAGCTCTTCCAGGTTTCCAGATTTTAGGAAATCAAATGGCAATTCTATCTTGGAATTGATTACTACTCCAACAAAAATAACTGGTGTACATTATGTTCAGGTATGGTGACCATTCTACTCTTTGATGATGGTTGCATAATTAGTATTTAAGCTGTAGTTTAATTGTCTTCGTTGCATTATGGTTTGTCTCGTTTGACTAAAGAATGAATATTGTTATAAAATGGGGGCAGTTCTGTGATTTTTCTGTTTTGTACTTGATAAACTATGCAATTAGGATGTAAGCTATATATGTCTCCTCTTTTTATTCTCCTATTTCAGGGTTGTCTGTATGTCTAAAAATGATTATGGCTGTCCAAAAGGATAGTGTGTGGTTGTTTTTGTTGATTGGGAGTTAATTTCTTTTGGGAGGGGCAGGGTAGGATGGACACATCGGTTGCTGTAGTCTCAATGATATATCTTGCCAGGGATTGACATGGTGAGAATCCTCTTAAAAGAGTGAGGTGCCTAACTTGGGTCTAGAGCCCGCTCTGGACCCAGGCCACTTTGGTAGCTGCCTATGGACAGTTCCACATGCACAAATTCCTATGTCCTCTTCTCCCATAGGATTCGATTTTGCTTATGAAACAAAGTTTCAATTCTTTCTCTGTATCTTCAGCCAATAACAAGTTTTAGTACATTGGTTCTCCAAATTCGACTTTGATAAATGCAGTTTCCATGCACAAAGTTTGAGTACGAAAACTTAATTAATATATTTGCTCCTAAAAAAAGGAAGACAAATGATTTTTAAATAAATTGACCTAATATTTCGGTAATTATTTAATATTGTTTGTATTATTATTCAAAATATTAACAAGTTCTCATGTAAGGTTTTTGTCTTTGGCCTTTTTTTGCGCATGCTACCTCTGCTTGGGTCTCTTGTTCTCTCAAAACATGTGCACCCATGTGTATGCCCAATAGGCAATATTTCTTTCATGCTTTCTGGTATTCACACCACTGGGCAGATGCTTTTGAACTTAATATATGCGGTACTGTTGCTTTAAATGCTTTACATAACTCCCATTGTGTGTACATATAAATAGTTTAGGCATATGCATCCAATAGGCAATAATTCTTTCATGCTTTCTGGTATTCACACCATGGCATTGTTTCCCCTTTTTTTTTTTTTTTTTCTGTATAAAAATCCAAATAATAGGATGGATTCTAGACATTGGCTACAGGGAAGGCCATCATGGAGCTTGAATTTTTTATAAATCATGTATCATGCTGTGGTTCTCATTGATCTTTTCAAGATATCTATAGCTGCTGCCATGGCTTCTCAACAAAGTTAACAACACAGACGAATATGCAAATCAAAACACACATATGTATGGTGCAAATATTGTATCAAATACAGAAACAAAGATGGAGAGAATATACTTTGCAGAATTTCTTGACGGAGATGGAAGAGAAATGAGTAGAATATCAAATCGATTTGCCCGAGATTGAGAGAGGCGATTAAAAAAGATTGTAGGGAGAGTACCTGAGGTTGAGAGAGATGTTTTTGCTGATAGGGAGAGTACCAGAGATTGAGAGAGATGTTTTTGCCGATAGGGAGAGTACTAGAGAGATACGTTTTGTGCAAAGTTTTTAGAGCTGGCGATAAAAACCATGAGGGCGAAATTGGTAAATTACGATAAATTATAAAACCTCCACTCTGCTGAGCATAACACTGCGTTCCACTTTTAGCATTAAGTAGGTGGGTGGTTACTAAAAATTTTAAACCCTTTTCCAGTGGTAATTAATGTATTAAGTGATAGTGAATTTTGTTATCAAACACACTAAAATTGGAATATGTTCAGTTTTCAGTGTTCAGAGCTTTATCAAACAGCCTCTTAACTTTTCCTAAGAAGGTAACTGATGCTGTTAATGTGCTCACTTTATATATATGCATGATTTATGGGCTATGTTTGTTTTAATTTTAGTCAAAATCAGAATGCTACTCTTCTTTACTATTGAATATTCCCAATGTGATCACTGCATTTATTTATGCAAGTAGTATCATTTGTGCCCTGTGTATGACAGGGAGTAATCATTTTTCATGATGTGTTTGACAATGAACATGAATTTGGCGGTGCTAAAATAAGGGTAGAAGGTGTGTACATATGGCCTTTTAGGCAACTTCGAATGGTAGCCAACAGGTATATCTTCTGGGTCCTTTGAATTGACTGTTCATCTCAAGTTTCTTCTGGTTTTATTTTTTCTGATTTTGCATTCTCTATTCACGTACTCGTTTCAGATTTGTAATTTTATTATTTGGGAGAGTGGAATCTTTTAACCTTCTATATCTTAGAAGCATGAGCTTTTTCTTGATGAAGGTTAAGTTTATAATACAGATCCTATATGCAAATTATAGCACAAGTACAATGCTGGGTATATTTAGATTGATTTTCTCTATCTTATAAATTGTGAAATTTTAAATTTTTTTGTCTGCATGATATGATGGTAAGGTGATGCATTTAATATCAAATGTTCATCTTTGGCTGTGACCAAATTGGTTAGACACCCACAATGGTTGAAATTTATCACAGGATAAAACTGCTGGTTCCGTACTTTCTGAAATTTGTTCATACATTGGAGGAGTTACTACCATGACATTCATGATGTTTAAGATGATATTATAATGATGGGAATAGACAAATTCTCGATGTAAAGTTTGCATCATGATAGTGTTGGCTAAAATTAGAATGCTTCTCTTGGATTGTGGTGATTTGAAATGGTTGCATCGCTGTTTTGTTGGAAAATTCTAGAAATGAATGTAGCTTGAAGAACGCTTTCTGACATATGAAATGCAATATACAAACATTACAGTTAAAGAATGCTGAAATAGTCATGTACTTTACAAATGCTGTTACACTGTACACCTTGAACGAATTTGGTTTTAGCCAGATATATAAAAGAACATAAAGGTCATCTTTCAGCTTAGGTAGATTGGATACAACATGAGTTTTGGCATATTTGCACGATGCTTTTAGGTTCAAAATGTTCTGAAGCTTGACAGAGTTCCTTTCCATTGAACTAAGCAATGACCCCCTTTTTTTAACGATGGGAAATCTTGCATAAACTTGATATGTGCATCAGTAATTTTCTCTCTATAGGATGGAAAAACTTAGACCATGTTCTCTGTCATATTTATCTGATAATTTAGTTTTGATTATTGTTCCTATTAAGATTATATTTATATTTATGCTTATTTGCGGTAAGAGGCATTCTAGTCTTTCTCTTTTGATAGAGTTTTATTTATAGTGTCTCTTGTCCCAAGTCATTACTATTAGGGAATCTTGGACTAATAGTCTTCTTTTCTCTCTTACTCTTCTTCATATGGATTTCTTCTTTGTTAGTTTATGTAAATTTTCATGGTATCAGAATTGAGCTTTGGGCTGTTAGTGGGCCAAATCTCTTGCCCATTTGAATTTCCTATAATGCGTGGTTGTTTGTTTGTTTGTTAGCCCCATGTACGAGCTCAGCCCCCACACAAGGGAGTGTGCTAAGAAAACTTGTATAACCAAGGTTGACTTACATACTTGAGGGGTCACTCCACCCATTGCTAATTGATTTTGGGTTGGATACTTACATAAACTTGCAAGTAGGAAAATACATACGAAGAAGAGTAAGAGAGAAAAAAAGTCTCTTACTCCAAGATTCTATAATAGTAATGACTTGGTACAAGAGAGACTATATAATACCTAACCACAAGAGAAAGAATAGAATACCCCTAACAGTAAATAAGCATAAATATAATATAATCTTAACAACCCCCAAACTCATGATGTGACAGTAGGGAAGCATCGAGAGCTTGTCAAGAAGAAGACGAAAACACAATGTAGTGTGCGACTTTGTAAAAAAGTCGACCAATTGTATAGTAGAAGAAATAAAAAGCAAGAAAATAGTCCCAAGCTGAAGATGTTGCGCACAAAATGACAATCGATCTTGATATGCTTGGTCCGTTCATGAAAAACAGAATTGTGTGCAATATGAACGACACTCTTATTGTCACAATGCATAGAAGTTAGAGCAGAAAAAGAAACGTCTAGATTGACAAGTAACCGATACTATCGCTGACGTATTAATAGTCATAGCACGATAATGACAGCGGTTTAATTCTTACTTCTTTAAGAAATTAGGGAATCATCTAGGAAGACACAAACCACTTGTAAAATAATGATCTATGACATCACTTGCGTAGTCAACACCACAAAAGGCATGAAGCTCTAGAAAATAAGTGGAAGAGAACAACAAATTTTGATATACAGTGCTCGAAGATAACACAAAATATGGAGAACTGCAGCACAATGAACCGTAGTCAGAAAAGGGACAAATTGACTTATGACATAAGCAACATAAGCAATATTAAGTCGTGTAATAGTGAGATAGACCAAGCTACCAACAATAATCTGGTATAAAGTAGGATCAGCCAAAGGGATACCATTAGTAGAAGTGTAATGGGTATTGAGCTCGAGAGGAGTCTTAACAGTCCAAAAATCTGTTAATCGAGTTATGTGGATAACATCAGTTGTATACTTTGATTGAAAAAGAAGATAACTTTTAGGTGACAAAGTCACTTCAATACCCAAAAAATAGCGAAGGACACAAGATCCTTCATCTCAATTTGTTGCTATAAATGAGTCTTCAAAGTTGAGATAATACCATAATCATCTCCAGTAGTAATAATTACACAATATATAGCAGAACAATCTGACCAGTAGAAGTAGAACGAAAAAAGAGAGTAGAATCATGATTACTCGAATGAAACCCAAGTCATAAATTGCAGTAGAGAACTTATCAAACTAAGCTTGACGAGCCTATTTGAGACTATAAAATGTTTTTTTGAGTTTCCACGCCTCACCAGGAGTGTGAGATAGACAAAAGGAGGAACCATAAAAACCTCTTCAGTTAAATCATCATTTAAAAAAATATTCTTGATATTTGAGATAGTTTTCATTGGCGAAAAACTGCAACGATAGTCAATGTACGAACAGTGGTTCTCTTTGCTACATGAGCAAATGTTTTCATATTCAATGCCATATTCATGTACAAAACCCTTGGTTATATCTTCCGACAGAACCATTAACCTTAGTTTTAATCTTGTATACCCACCAACAACTAACAACCAGCAACATACTTATCAGTAGGTAAAGGCACTTGATCCCATGTCCTAGCTTTATGTAGTGCAGAAAGTTTTTCATTCATACCCTGTTCCTAAATAGGATCTAGAGAAGCCTTTTTATAGGAGGTAGGTTTGAACAAAGAGTGACTAGAAGATAGAAATGAACAAAAACTAGAGGAGTGACAAGTTTGAGAAAAACCAAGGCAATTAGGATCCACATCATCAGAAACCAATGGAGACATAGCCGAAAGAAGTGGATCCATTGTACTTATTGAGGTGTTTGACTTGTTCCTACGAGAACAAGTGTGGATAATCGGAGATGGTGCAATTGAGAAAGAGGAAGACTGAGACGAACAATGAATGTTAGAAGTGAGCATGCAATGAAACGAGAATTAGAAAGTGTCCAAGACTAGAATGCTATAAATAAAACACAGAAGACTTAGGGTTCAAATGTGGGAGACAAATCAATAGAAGAAGCAACCACAACTGGAACATGCAATTTTTCTGGCACATGTAATTCTCCAACCTACGACCTGTTTTAATCAGCTTCTTGGAATAAGGATCTTGCACAATACAACTAGTGGATGAAAATTAAACAATTTAACCAAGATCACAAAGTTGACTGAAAGAAATAAAATTCAGAGATAGTTGAGGTATACAGTAAACATCAAGAAGAGAGAGAAGTGAAGTCATAATAGATCCAACCTCTATCACCAACATGAAAGTCCCATTGGCAACTAGAATAGTGGTACAAGGAAACATAAATGAATCATTAATCATATGATGTGTAGCACGAGTATGATATATGTGACAGTGTTGATAAAGACAAACCTATAGGAGATGAAACATATACAACATTACTTCCATTTTCTATAGTTTGAGTTCTGAAAACTCTTCCTTATTTCCTTCCGCAACTCTTGCTTCAACACCAAACCCGAATTTTTCAAAACCTTAATCAAGGACAGAAGTAGAAGGGGGCACAATCTGCAATTTCTGCACTGCTTTGGGGCAGAATCTGCAATTTCTGCACTGTTCTGTGACAGAATCTTCATTTTCTGCATTGTTTCAGGGGCAAAATCTGTAATTTCTGCACTATTCTAGGGTAGAATCTGCAATTTCTCCACTGTACTAGGGGAAAATCTGAAATTCTACAATTTTGCTGGATTGTTTCTAAAATTTATACCGTTCTGAAAATTTAAGACCTTCTCTGCAATTTTAGAAACTTTAAAGAAAATAACACTATAGCAACCACACAAATCTTTTGCAACCAGCAGATGGAACCCTAGCATCCATATAATAGTCAAACCACACAAAGACAAGAGAGCTGTGCATACGAGAGGAGAAACTATTCAAATCTCTGTTCATGACACTGTTCATGCTACAGTGATTGCAAATTCAAAGAATGATGGACTAATGGGAGTTGGCTCTGGAAAACTTGCATAAACTTGCAAAGAAGAGAATGCATACAAAGAAGAGTAAGAGGGAAAAGAAGATTGCTACTGCAAGATTCCTTAATAGTAATTACTTGGTACAAGAGACGTTATATATGAAATCCTACCACAAGAGAAAGACTAGAATACCCCTAATAGTAAATTAGCATAAATATAAATACAATCTTAACCGTTGTCATTTCTCTTAACTAAGTTCCATATAATCTGTTTAGTTTGCTTGATGATTTTAGATGTATGTATCAACCCGTTTAGTATCCATCATTCGGTGCCTAATATACTTCCTCTCCAACCCAATAAATATAAAAGTGAGTTTGTCAGAATATTGATCCACTTTGCTGATTACCATACTAATGTTGTTGGAGAGTTGATTGATAATTGATTAAGTTCATCATGCTGTCTTATTTTAACATCAATAAAATACAAATCTGATATTATACATTGTTAATTTGCAGTGGAAAAGAGGGAGAGTTAAGCCAGGAAGATGATTATATATTATCCAATCCGTATCACTTGGTAATCATTATCGCTTATTGATTGACATGTTCTTGATGATGATTTTGTGGAAAAACTTGCTATTCTAGATTGCTTCATTAGTGAAAAAAGCAATAGAAGTTTGGAAAAGGTTTAATTTCATTAGGTCTAGAGAAGTTTTGATCTCTCTCTGCCTCTGTCTCTGTCTCTGTCTCTGTGCCTCTGTCTTTATCTTTTTTTTTTTTGCGTGTGTGTGTATCTGTACGTGTGTCTTTTCTTCTCCTACTTCTCTACACTAACAACTGTGAAGTGTGGAAATTTATTCTTGTCCTTTTCCCAAATGCTCCTTCTACCTCATTCTCCATTTGTAGTATATAGAACAGTGGCCCAAGTTGCAACAGTTTTGGCATTATTGCAAGAGTCCTAAAAAATTATGCTTGGTAGAGAAAGCCTTCTAGTAATAGCTTCGGGGACAAGGCTCAATGATGCCAATGATATCTCGCAAGATTAAATGCCTTCTGAGGTTTAGTTGATGATTTTTAATGATACAAGTTCATGGTAATCCCATGAGCCCAATATTATCTAAGGACTTTTGTACGCCATTTGATGCATGTCTCCCTGACAGTCTTTAGTATGGATGGGACGTTGGTGAAAATTTTAGTTCTAGGATCTCATGAAATCATGCTGCATTTATTATATTTTGTATTTTGATGGTTTTTGGCAGAAACTAGAAATTTGTGCAGTCTTTTAGTAATAGCTTCAGGGACGTGGTTCAATGATGCCAATGCTACCTTGCGAGATTAAATGACTTATGAATTTTAGTTGATGATGGTTAACAATATAAGTTCATGGTAATCCCCTAGAGCCCAAGATTATGGAAGGACTTTTGTACCCTGTTTGATGTGGTACCCATAGCAATATAAGTATGAAATGGAATCTCGTGAATTTTCTGGGATCTCATGAAATCATGCTGCATTTGTGATTTTGATGCTTTTGTGAAGAAAATAGAAGTTCTCATATTTGGTTAAAATTTTTGGACTTAGGATTGATGTGAATGTTTTGCATGTTTTTTAATTTTTTGGTAAAGCCTCTAAATGGCCCCTTGGGAAGATTGAAAATTGAGTTTTGAGTTCTCTCTTTTTGTCATCTCATTCTTCTCTTCACTTATTTTGTCTCTCTCTCTGTCTCTACACGTACACACACACACACACTGTGACACGCACAATCAAGAGTTTAAAAAATTCTTTTTCTACTCTCACGAGTCATGCCTGAAACATTTTTTATTCCCCTCACTCTTGTTTTTTTCATTTTTTCTTTTGAAGAGCCCTACTTTAAGTTATACCAAAGTTAGTAACTGACATTGGTTTACATCGACCAGTTCAGAATATGCAATGCATACTGAGCCCGCATCTGAGGTCGCACAAGTAATTAAGTTCTGACTTGGGGTTCGATGTGCTTACTTGATTATTTGCATACCACATGCCAATCTACCATTTTAATTGGGTTGGTTTTTATGCTAAACACCAAGATAGGGTTGGGACAGTCAAAGAGTGAAAGGAATGGAAATTTTTAGGGTATGTTGTATGAAGCAACCCAAAACTAGTTAAATAGTGTGGACTGTGTAGTAGATTGTTAAGTGTCAATGGAATCCAAATATTTGTTTTCCTGAGTCGAGCATATATTTAGTACATTCATCCCATTTTTAGTCATTACTAGATGATGAATGGCGCCACGTTGGGGGCAAACATCTCGGATATCTAACTGTTTCAACACTTGGCTTCAAATTCAGTTAATAATTTCATGACAAAAATGAAGATGCCTCATGATACTTCGCTGCAGCATTGAAGATCCATGCCTCAACCCAATAAGCAAAACAAGAAAGACAAAAATCCTGTGCCATCTAAGAGGTTCCTTGGACTTTATTCTTATGAAAATGGCTGGTAAAAGATGATAAACAAGCTTAACGATGCTAGTTGTCAATCCGATGGACAAAATATAGCCAATTGGTGGATTGCACGTTACTTGTACAACATGTTTGGGAGGCCAAAGGTATGGATCCTGACATTTGTTCTGGAAAATGGGGCTAGGTCACATGGTATGGTGGAGTACTTGTTTTTGGGTCACAGGCAGGACAATGGGTCCATAAGGAATACTTAAGCCCTTAGGTTCTTGCCATCCCATAATTTTTTTCTTTTGGTTTTCTTTTTCTGTCCTCTGTCATCATAGTCAGGCAGGCAAGCCAACCTTTTATTGTTCCCTGTTGCTTCTGTTTCCCTTTTTTAGTTATCCCATCCTCTTTTCATAATTTCTCTATCACATTCTTTGATTGGATAAAGGTAAATGGATTGATGGTTGATGGCAATTGGGATTTATTTCATATTGTACTTTTCTAGTTAGCTATAGGAAAATATAAAATTTAAATACTAGTGACTTGAGGGGGAGACGTTCATATAAATAATTGAAATGAGCTAAACAACCTGTTTGCGCCGCGCCTGACAAGATTTTCAAGGACGACTCCTACCGAATTGAAGATTAAAGATGATTGAAATGTCTGGAATACCTAGACAGTATTATGATCCATAGAACATTAAGGAAAGTACAAGGATTAAAAAAATTGGAGCTGTGTCTTTAAAAATGAACAATATCTATAATGATCTCTGCTAACATAATGCACCATAGCGTACCTCCCCTTTTTTTTTGCAATGGGAAAAAAACCATTTTATTGATCCATTGCAACATTGTGAAACTGTTAGACATGCATGTACACCAATAGAGATTTGGGGCATATAATTCTGTTCTCATTTCTGAATCTGGTCTGTGGATGGGCTCTGGTTATTTGTCCTAATGTTGCATGCAGAACCAAGTTGTGCGCTGCCTAACTGCTTCAGCCTATTGACTTGCACTTGCATTTGGGACAGACATTGACTACAATATGAGTGTTTTCAATTTCAGAGATACTTGTAGTTGTGATGAGTTTCTATGCTAACTTCTCTATATTACCTTTTTCAACAGCTTGGAGTTTTCTCATCCCAGGTGTTCCAGGAGTCTCCTCGAGACAAGCATTGGAAGCGGAAGCATTGTAATTTTGTCTACTTCACTGTGATGTTGTAACCAAAAAAACAAAAAGGAAAAAACTGTAATGTTAATTATTTTGTGTTCTTTCTTCTGACGTTAAGTTGACCATTTATATTTCTTATTGCAGCACCAATGTATGACATGGAGAAACATTGTAATATTGAGATTGCAGCTCAAATTTCACGTGTCTCTCCTGCTCAAACGGGTACTTGAGTTCTCTGAAGCATATCTACTCCTTTTGTTTCTTCCTCTTTCCCACCGAAGTATGTTAATGAGCATATACCCAAATTTTTTTCTTGTCTATCTGCATGCAAAAATATTTGGGGCACACCCTGCTGATGATACTGTTTGTTATATTAAATTGGAAACAGTAGGTTGTGGGATGTCACTCTTAGTTTGGGACTTCTGTATAAGAATCTGCAACCTAATAAGCGTGCTAACTTGTGAAAAAAGTAAAATCATGTAATCGGTCTTGTTTTACATGGATTTGGGTATGCGTGAGAGCCATTAACATGCTCAGAAGTCAATTCACGAACAAATCTGAAATAAAGGAGATGAGGGCACAGCTGAGTTGCTGGTGTCCAACTTTTCTTCCTCAAGCATTGCGTAAAATAAAGTGTCTGTGTTGTGTATTAGAAATTGGCTCTTTGATTATCCGTTTATATTGGAACTTGCCATTTGGGACCTCATTTTCTGGCATTCTAGGAAAACTTAAACAGTGGTAATGATGTTTCTGGTGGCACGTCATTTTTTGTGTCCATATGTTTTTATATCAAAATGATATTTGCCTACATAATTGTCATCAAACTCTAAGATAAATTGATGAACACTATGATAGAGATTGTTTTATTGGAGTCATGATGTTGGGATCAGATAATACCCTCTTAACTGTTAATTTCATTTAGTTTTCTTTGGAAAATCATCTGAGTTGACTTATTTTTCTTTGGAAAATCGTCCGAGTAACCCTTTCAAAGCTTTAATCTGTCACGCAACTCGATACAGCTTAATAAGTATTGGTTTAGTGTGGAGCTGTTTGATGTATATGAGGGAGTACATGAGAAATTCTGGTATTGGATATGTATGTATCCAGTTTGAATTCATAGCTTTCATGGATTTTTGGTTGGAGATGAATTGGCATGCATTGTGGGTGTTATTGTGTCAGTCTTGTTGCATGCATCCGTTTTTCTGACGTGATAAGTTTTTGGAAATCATTTAATTTATCTGGACTCACTGTTTGCCTCATTCTAGATGGAGATCGCGATCGTTATCATATTGAAGGATTAATGGAAAGCCCATCAGTGGATGATGAAGGAGATTGCTTCTCACCCATGCTATTAAATGCTTCTTCTGTCAATATTGAGGTTTACTACAACAAAGCAGTTAACTACACCTTGATGGTCACATTTGTATCCTTCGCTATTTGTTATTCTTGTGATCCCATCACATTGTTTTCAACTTCTTTTTGTTGCATTCTTTAACTTTTCGACACATTAGGTTTCTTTTCTTCAAGTTCTTCTGTTAATTCGCCAAATGGAACACAGCAATACACAGTCGGTAAGACTATCTGCCTTGATCATATTTGATACTTAACAATAACATTCTCGATAATTTATAGAGTTGATGCACACACACACACAGAGGGACTCCTGATTTTTGAGAACAAATCAATGAGGAAATTGATATTTTTTTGCTAGGGGGCTGCCAAAGTTTCAATTTTGATGATTGGACAACAGGCTATCATGGATGCTTATCTTTGCCTTTTACATTTGACTGCAGGGATATTAGTTGGTAAGTTTGAATGTGAATTTTAATTTTTTTGGCATTTACCTAGTGTGTCTGTTTCATTGTTTGTAACATAGTCATAACCATGGTATTCTAAGATGGTTTGTAGTGTTCTGTGAATATTCATATGAGGTAGTAGTTGGTTATGGAGCCTAGAATACATTGGTACTTCTCTAATTTTGTTACACATAGTGATCACAAACACAAAATAATTTTTTTTAGAAGTTTTTCTAGGAAATGCTCAAGATGTGGAATCCTTTCTTGCTGAACCACAATGAGTTTGTGATAATACAAATATTTATGAAATCCCATCTGGCAAGAAACGTGTATTTATTTAAAACTCTGCAAGGATAGCATTACGTCTTCTTCAATTGGTAAGCTTAAAGCTTCTCCCTCACTCCTCCAGTATGATGGTCTTAGGTGATTCAAGGTGTGGATGTCCTTACTTCTTTTGGATAGGGCTAGCAGTGTTCTCATAAACAGTTAATAGGGCAGTAGGGAACGTTAGATTTTCCATCTTGCTTGGAATGAAGGGAAATTGCTCGCAGATGACACAAGTCTCACTTTGGTGGCCTCAAGAGAGCATATCCTCTACCTTAAAGTGATCCTCTCAACCAGTGAGACTATGTCTGGCCTCACAATCACTCATGGAAGAGTTTCATTTTTGTTGTTCACGTTAGTAGAACTTGTTACAGGGTGCTGAATCTCTATTTCTTAAAGGTAAATCTAAAGATCTAAATTTTGGGATATTCTTGTTGAAAAGCTCCCAACCCCATGAATGATTGGTACAATATTGCATCTGATTAGGTTGAGCACTTTTGTGAAGCCTGCTCTGACTAACAGCCATACATTTTCATGTTCTTATTATTGAGGGATCCATACTGGATGTATTGTGGCATAGGTAGGGGGGAAGGGAAGAAAGATCAGTCGGTCAGGTGGGTTAGAGTTTGCATGCCTAAGAAGTAAAAGGGCTTGGGATAGTCAATGTGACTTAGGGATCAAGGCTTGTTTGCTAATTAATTTGTCCAAAAGAATGCAATTGTGATCCCGATCTTGCAGATATTCCGATTCCAGAGAAGGATGATGCTGTACCTTCAATTCGATTGCCTCTTATGAAGCTAGTATTTGCAATTTGTGAGAATTGTCCCGACTATGAATTCATGCTTCCATGCCTTCATTTGTGCTGCTATCTCTGTATAATACTTGCAGCTTCACCAGTATAATACTGTCCTCTTATGTTTGTAGCCTTATATGATCATTTTTCTTTGTGCATGTCTCTACTAAGTAGAGGGTTACTTTTTTGTTTACAGAATCCCTATTTAATGCCTTTGCAACTGCTGCATTTTTCAAGTTCGTTGTCTTCTCGATCTTTGAGATGAGGTATCTTCTTGCTATATGGAAGGCGAGCAGGCCCATGAGCAGTGGAGAGGGTTGGGAAGCAATGAGGCGTGAACTTTCAGTTCTTTACAGCCGCTTCTGTGAGTATTGCTGATCTTGCTGAACAGAGACCTCTGTTCTCAAGTACAATATAGAAATTGTGACTGATGATTAATACAAAATTTAACTTGGTGTGGGTACTTTTATGACAATATGTTCATCTTGTATCTTAAATAAACATGCTCCTATTGAAAATCATCTTAGTTCATCTCACCTTCCCTTCACCCCACCTCAGTGTTTTGGGAACATTATTAAATACAACATATCTTAAAAAGTCATGCATATAACTTGTTCTAGTACCTATCAAACCCATTATTTATAATCTTGGGTTAGACTACGTCAAAAAGATGTTCTTATCTCATTTATGGATAAAATATTCCGCTGCGGTTGAATTGTTTTTTTGGAGTTTAAACTTGCCATCACCTCATAATGGAACAGAGGAATTTATTATCATAATTAGATTTTTTTTCCTGGCCTACAGGAGGTGTGGGTTGGTGTCATGTCAAAATCTAAAACCTTCCGGTTTGATGTACTTAAGAAACAAAATTCCATTTCAAAACAGTTGAAACGGGCGAAACTTTTTTGTTTCGAAGGAGACCGAAACGAATCAATTGATTAAATCAAAATTCCATTGCTTTGAGATTTTTTAGAAAGTTTTGAGGTATTTCGGCGTGTTTCTACCAATATTTCAAGATGTTTCGATATATGTTGGCTAATGTTTTGGACTTTTTGGAAAGAAATTCCCAAATTTTCATTCATTTTCATTCTGTTTTCAAAATGTTTCCATTTCCTAAGTGACCAAAACAATGCGCCGAAACAAAATTTTGATCCTTGATTTACTTACTCCAAATAGACAAGATGATTCTATGTGTCAACATTAGTGTTATGAGTGGATAAGATATTCGTTTAAACCCCAGTATATTGTGAAGTGCTTAAGAAAGAGAACGGTGGAAATAGCTCCTGGGTCTTCCTTGGGGCTCATATTTAAGTTCTTCTAATTATCAAAAAGAAAATCAAAAACAACCGAAGGAAAGAAGAATTGCATTTCGTCCATCTGAGTTTAATTGCTTTTGTGTTGCATTTGTGTGTGGATTGCTTTGGAAAGAAGAAATCGCATTTCTTCCAAATTTATTTGTTTTTAACTGCATGTGATTTTGTCTTCTGTTAGATGACATGCATTGTGGATTAGCATTGGGTTTTCTTTTTTCTTGAGGATGTCTGGTCCTTTATATTGTACGTCTTTTCTCATTTCTCTACGTTCTCTTTTATAAAAAAAAGCATTCATTGTCGAAAATAACTGCTAGTCGAGTGGTTTATGGTGCTTTGCTTTAGGACTAACTAGGGAAAACTTCTGCCCTTTTTAAGCATCAGAAAATCATTTATTAAGTATTGATAGGGAGTTGGAAGCAGATCTCTTGTACTGATAGGTGTAAAGTTTAGGGTTTATAGAATAGGGAAGATTATGGAGGAACTATGTCAGAGCAGGAAATGGATTATTACACCTCTCATTCTCAACTCATTTTATAATCATATTATGAAATGGAAAAGATGAGTATGGGATAGAATAATAATAATACTCTCAACACGTCCCCTCAAGATGGATATATATGTATATTATAATCCAACTTTGGAGTAAATAGCTGTTAAGAGGATCATGATTCAATGCCTTGGTGAACACGTCAGCAACCTGATCCTTACACTTCACAAATTGTGTGACAATATTTCTTGTCCTGAACTGAATTGAGAGTCACCTCTGATATGCTTTATCCGCTCATGGAAAAATGAATGAGTAGCGATGTGACGTGTTGTTTGATTATCATAAAACAATGGGAAGTCAATCTCATTAAGAAAGTGCTGCAGCCCTGTTAATTTCCTCGTAATGTCTGCCAGAGGTAAAGTGACCTGTCTATCTCTCATTTTTTATCTGCACCCATCATTGGATTATGCTACCGTAGTTTACTTCAAAACCAATTGGCAATAGGTGTAGGGTCCCACAAGGCTCTATACTACTTCAGGAGGTATTATTTTATTAATGTTGGACGAGTTCTAATGCTCCCCCTTCACACCCCCCGCCCAAAAAATACTACCAAGACAAAGAGGAATTCTACTTTGGTTGTGTGGTGAGATAAATCTGAATTTTACATTTCTTTTGTTTGAGATTTTCTTAGTTTGAACTGGAATCTGGCGATAATTACAATGAAATTATCATTTCTCCATGTGATGTGTTTACAACTTTCTCTCTTTCTTGATTATGACTTGATCTACCAATGGGCTTATTGGTTCACTAATATTCAGGGTAATCATTTCAGACATTGCTATGTGTTTGTATGTTCATGCTTTTCATATTTACCCTGGATTTTTCTTTGAAATTCTAATAGTTATAAATGACTAATCTGTTTGTGCTTCAGTTACCGTTATTAGATTTGGGGACCCTCTTATAAAATATAAATGCACAAAAACTTGTGATTGTTTTGCAGATGGGATCCTGTTAGGTGGAATTTTGGTCATGTATGAGTTCCATAAATTTCTGCGACTCATTCTTCTCCTTATGCACTCCTTTTGGATGCCTCAAATCATAACTAATGTTGTTCGTGACTCAAGAAAGCCGTTACATCCTCATTACATCATAGGAATGACTGTCACTCGGCTAGCAATTCCGCTATACGTCTTTGGTTGTCCTCACAATTTCATGCGTATTGAGCCTGACAAAAATTGGTGTATTTGCTTGGGTGTTTTTATGGGTTTCCAAGCATCAATTCTTCTTCTACAGCACTATCTTGGATCGCGGTGGTTCATTCCTCGGCAGGTTTGATTTGTCTCTGATGATGATCATTCTGCAATAGTTTTGTTCTTTCGGTAACTGAAAATATACACACTCCGACCAGTTTGTGCACATACCTATACCCGCACCCTCTCTGATTTTTGCATCAAGTTTTTCGACCAAATTGGTGAGGAGCATCACAAAGTATATGGGTACTGTGTACCCTATGGTGCCAGTATTGATATAAATTTTGAAGGAGATTTTTGATTCTAATTGTTTGACTTTTGATGCTTGAAAATCCATGTTTGTTTTGCAACAATCAGGGCTTGACAAATGGATTGGTATAATTGTGCTATTTGACCATCACTTGCTACTACTCAGGATCAAGACTTGATAATTTGCAAACTTGGCTTCCTGGAAATTAGCCATCTAGGGGAGCTTATACAGAATTTTAGTTGGAATCAAGCTCAAGCCAAGTTTGAGAAGCTCCCAAATCAACTAGCCTGAATTCTAGCAGTTTGATACTTAGCTGAGCTTGGCTTTGTGCAGCCTTTAGCCCAATTAGCTGCACAATGATTGTATATATATTGTTATGCATTTTGGTGGTGGTGGTGGTGTTTTTTCCTTTTCCTTTTTCTTTTTTTTGCCACGGGGGAAGGGGGGGGGAAGGGGGCAGAGAGGGGCATTGCTCCATCAGAGACAGCCTGTTCTGCTAAGCTGGTGATTCTGTTGTGTAATCAAGGGTTTGAGTATTCATGAATTTGTGTTTGGTTAAAATTTTCAGTCTGCTTGTTCCTTCTTTATCTAGCTGTACAAGTAGAATGATTAAGCCCCAAACATAATGCATGCCTTTGCTTGGTTGATTATGTAATCTTTAAATGTAGGATAATAAGTAACCTAGTAGGATACTAATTGTTTCTTGATAATGAAAATAGTTTCACACACCTTCCAAAAGGAACAAAAGACACAAAGAAAGACCCACATGCTTGTCTTCTACTATGTGTTCATTATTGCAGCTTTTCTTTTCCAACTGAATATGCTAGTTTTGTTGCATCGTCGTGCATCTGTACTTGATGCTTGCAGTAAACTTAATGTGGATAACATTTTGGTGCAATATTGCAGATTTTACCTGAGAAATACAGTTATTATAGAAGGCTTGATCTGGATACAAATCATGCCACCGACTGTGTCATTTGCATGACTGCCATTGATCTCACACAACGTTCGAATGACTGCATGGTACTTTGTTTTAGGTATTATATTGCTTTGGAGAGGATTTCTATCTATGAACTTAGCAAAGTAATTGGAATATCTTCTTTTAGGTGACACCATGTGATCATTTCTTTCATGCTGGTTGCTTACAAAGATGGATGGATATAAAGATGGAGTGTCCAACCTGCCGGCGTCCTCTTCCACCAGCTTGAGAAGATCATGTTACTTTGTGTTCATTTCACCATGGATCAAGAGATATTGCCCAATCCCATAAATTGTGGTAAAATTGACACAAACTTTAGATGATAAAAGAATAAAGAAACAACCACCGTTTTCTTTTTCTTCTAGATATTTGGGAAGTCTAGGAACCCAAGTAGCCTTATATGTCATTGTCATGACCTGCTTTACTCTATATGAATATCACAACTTCACTAATGCTACAAGAATTACACAAGATTTTCCCACAAATTCTCATATTCCTAGAAATGCAAAATGGGCCTTCTTTGTTTTCTTTAATAAAAAAAATGAGTGCACATTGTCGGAGTTTAATTATACTCATGCTTGATAAATTCTGGGAAATTTCCCTCTCAATAATAAATCCTAAAATTCCATCCTATATATATATATATATATCTGTGTGTGTGTGTTTGTATATGTGTATGCATAAACGTGGGGTAAGATCAACATCGACGAAATATAACATTACATTTGGCTTGTACTAAAACACTATATTTCATGTCAGGTTGGGGAAAGACCGAAAGAACCCAGTTTCTGCTTGAGTACATCCTCAGAAGATGGCTGGGAGTTAACCATAATCAACTTCTAGTATTGTGAGATACACAAGATTGAGTGGCTCATCTAGTGTATATTGGAACCATGTAATATTTCTTTAAAGGTGATAATCCTTGTCAATTTTACTTTTGTTTTCACCGCAATTGTATGTCCTTTGAAATGTACGTTGACATTAGAGAGTGCATTGTTTCTATTGTGGGAAGCAACAGGCAGTGATTTTGAAGCTGCAAATTTAATGCATATGTATATGCGATCGCAAACTGCGTATTGATGTACATACACTTACCAGAAACTTAATTAAAATAATTGATGTGCTGTGGAGAGCTGTAGCAGCCAGTTTATTTACCAACTTTTCTTCCTAGGTGTTGAAGTATGAACCATAGTCTCAACTCGAGATGGGTCAAGACATTGTGAAGGGTGCACTTCATTGTGAATGTATTAGTATGCTACTGATTGAAGGTGTGGCACATACCAAGTCCAATTGGCATGTCAACACATTGTACACTTGCTTTCTCTCATCTTACTAGGAGTCAAATTGATTTTACTGATCATTATTTTTGGTTATTTATTCATTTTCTTCTTCCTTCTCTTTGCGGGAGTGGTTTTTTTTTTTTTTTGAATCAATTTCCCTTTTACCTTAATTTTTTTTTTTTACTTTATTTCCTCATTACCACACTTCTTAACTTATTTTCCAAATCACTGTTTTTGTTCAAAATCACGCTTTGAAAAAACGCTTTTCTAGAAACGATAGTTTTGTAAATAAGTTAGAAATCACGTTAAAGTGGAATAATGTTAGAAAAACACAATATTTTGGGGAAAACTAGGGTTTGTTGGGTTGGGGTGGGGTGGGGGGGGGGGGGGGGATAATATAATTATGTATGAATATTATGGGAGTGTAATAACCTATTATCACCAGAAGGTATTATCTTAGTCATCCAATCCTTCAAAACAGTTGGTGTTCCGTGCGCGAATTAGCGCTTTGAGGTCAAATTTTCTATGAATTCGTGCTCTTATTTGATAAACTTCGTGAATTCAAAATTTTAATTCATGAATTAATTTCTCACTCTAGTGTTAGTAATTGGATGTGATAATTTTTTTCTTCTTCTTATTCCTAGTTTTTCAAAAATATTATTTAATTACCTTGTAAAGTGAAGGTCTGATTGTTGAAGACTTCCACTCTCTCTGAAATAATCGACAAATGGGTTATCCTTGGCCGAGTAAAAACATAAAATTTAGCAGCATTTCAATATTTTTGTTCTCCAGAAAGAGCCAAGATTGGGTGAAGTTGATTACATCATCCAGAGATAAGTAACTGTCTAATCTCTATGTTCAGATTCAGCTGAGATTGAATAGGATTGATTGTTTGTTCAAATGAATCTGCCTGCTTTCGTGGCCTAGAATTTTTATTCCCTGTGTAAAAGTGATATGTCGTGGATTTGAATCAGACAATTAACCTCTTCAAGATGGAGGTAAGACCATGTACCAGTTATTTCGGTCAAACTGTCATAGGCAGGAAGCTTTGTGCTTGTTATTTTTGGATGGGGTAATCCACAGAAACAGTTAAATCATGTCTCTTCTGAATGTTTCGGCTAATTTTTTTTGTTTCCATTTGTTTCTAAGATATTTTCAAAACATTTATGTAATATTTACCTAAGACTACGTACCAAAACGAAGATTTTGATCCTGAACTTGTAGATATTCATTTCACTTTGGAAATTTGAGTTCCAACGAGTGGATAGTATTTCTTTTCAGGGTATGAAAACCAGGATTTTCCAGGGAAAGGATGACGCATGAAATTATAGACAAAGCCTATTTACAAGGACATTTTCTTTGTACAAACTTCACTTTGTAGTATCTAAAGGTATTGGCATTTACAAGCCACATTGGATCTTTATTCTTCTTATAGCTTACCAGACCACGTAAACGGTTGTAAACATACAACTAGGAGTGGCTAGGAGGCAGAGGCGAAGGCGTTGTAGCACCAGCAGTAGCAGTAGCAGCACAATGATACTCAAAGCAGTCAACAGGATGCTCAAGGGCTGCTTCACATACCTTTTTGGTCCTCTGAAGAGGTTTTTCTGGCAAGCAGTTTCGTCGATCATCAAATGCAATGCCTTTTGATGTCAAATTACAGCAAATCCCCTCCTCCTCACAGAAAAAATTATACGATATCGTGAAATTTTCCAAATTAGGCAAAACACATATTCCCTCTGGTACAATCCCACTCATCATGTTATGGGCTAAATTTAGCTGCTCCAAGTGAGCTAACCCTGCAATGCTATAAGGTATTGGACCAACTATTTTGTTATAACTCACATCAAGTACTCTCAGTTTGTATAGAAATCCAACCTCATGTGGTAAACACCCTAACAAACTGGTATTGGTCATGATAAACTCTTCTAAACTATTGGCAAAGTCAGCTATACTTGGTGGGAGACATCCTCCGAATTTGTTGTTAGCAAATACCACCACAGTAGCCGAGCTTGACCCTAAATTCGATGGGATCATAGAGGTAAAAAGGTTGTCATTAAGAAATATAGCGTCAAACTTTTTTGTGAAGAGTTGTGGGGGCAATGGTCCTTCAAACTCGTTGAAACGAAGATCAAGGTATCGTAGAGTAGGAAGAGAGAGGATAACAGAAGGGAAAGGGCCTACAAATCGGTTGTTACTGAGATCAAGCTCGAAGAGTAGAGTAAGATTGGCTAAAGTTTGCGGGATGATGCCACAGAATCGGTTACTATTTAGATGAATCAGTGCAAGTTCAGAGAGGAGGCCTAGTTCATCTGGCAAGAAACCAGCTATGTCAGCATGGTTGAGGTCAATGCCCGCGACAACTTGGATTTTTGTGTCATGAGGAAATGGTGCACAGTACACGCCTGTGTAATTGCACACAGAGGGGCCAACCCAATTGGTAGTAAAATTCTTTGGATCAGAGTAGATTGCATTTTTCCAAGCTTGCAGGGCAATGTAAGCATTGTGGAGTCTGGGGTTGGTTATGGCCTTTATGGGGAGGTGGTTGTGGTGGTGGTGACGGGTGATGGAGGAACCATGTTTGGCGGAGGAACCATGTTTGATGGAGGAACCGTGTTTGGCAGCCAAGTTGTTGAATGAGGAGGAGAGGTGTAGTAGTAAGAGGACAAATGCCCATGTTCTGATGGAAGATGAATATGAAGAAGCCATTGTTTTTGTTAGTTTGTGGTTATGAAAGTGAGTGAGCTTGTTTGTTTTTGTAAGGGGTTCTTTCCTTTTCAAGTGAATTGCTCATTCTTTTGTTTCATAATGTAGCTCTTGCCTAACGAAATCTCTTGATTTTTCAACGTGGATTATGACATCTAAAAGAACTGTTACAACAAACAATTACAGCGACCTTCAACCATCGCGGACATTAATATGCCATAACAAGTCTTCTTGCTTCTGCTAGTCAGGAATCACCAAGGGGGCTACAGTAATATTTCTCCCCTTGACTCTTAATGGTGGGAGTCTCGTACACCTGACGCTTAGATGAACCGTTTGTTCTAATATATGGTTTATACGAGCGTCATGTTTGCATAAGACTACAATGGACATCAGAGCAGGCCAGAGCTTGGGGGATGTGGCCATCAAAGATCAAAGGAGAGGTTCATGAAATGATAGGGACCTATCTCCTTCCATGTAGTTTTCGCAGTTGTTTGAAGTGGAACTGGAGAGAGACAGGTTCAAAACCCCTAGAATGAGATGAGGATTGGAGAAAAAAGAGATCTTTCTTGGATTTGAAGGGATATACATGTTTTCTAATTAAGGGTCTTCCGGTGATCAAATTAGAAGGAATAGACATCAGAAATACTTGTAAAGGCAAGACTTTTTTCGACTTCTTTCATGCCATGAAAGAGCAAAACATTAATTAGAGATGCCCACTTCTTGCTTATATCAAAAATGCCTTTCCAAGTATTTTCATGAATAAATAATTGACATAACACATTCTAGCTCATATAAGAAGATAGGATTGTAAAACAAACTAGAGTACTTGAGTTTAGCTTGTAACTTACTTGTGAGATAAACAAGCCAAGCTTATTCATATTTTAAAACTCGTTAAGGTATCAACTTGGCACATTAAGCTAGTAAGCATCCTATGTTACATAGACATCAAGCTTATCAGGTATGATAGTGACGAGTTTGATTAAAAACTCTTTTGTGATCAATTTATTAAAAATAGAAGCGAGACTTAAAGCTTCATTTAAAACTTCGTTAACTTTGTAAAGTGAGCTTGAGAACTTGCTACTCAGCTCGACTCGGTTCATGTACACCCCTGGGTATTCCAAAATCACATAAAAGAATTACCAAAAATCTATTTGATCAGGCAGAATGGAACAGATTCTATGGATTACAAAGAGGTTGGTTCCTCAAGTTGGACCAGTTAGCTCGATTAGTTTTGTCCAAGGGTCAAATTCACCCGGGACACCTTATAGCCCGGCCCAATTATGGGATGTGGGCCAGCCCAAATCAGAATTTGCCCGTTCTAGGCCGGTACAAGCTAGAAAGGGCTATGTCACTATTAGTGGCCCAACCCAGCTACTGTGGCTATCCCAAAAACTCACATGAAAAATAGTTAAGTAATGAGTTATAATTTACCACTTTTAATTATTATTTCATTTTGGGCAAAACAAAATCGGTTCTTTTGGGTTTTGTCTTCGTGACACGGATACCTCCTGACATTTGGATAATTACACTGACGTTAGACGAAGTTATAGGGAATGGAGAAAATGTCAATTTAACCTCAAATTAACTTTAAAAAAAAAAAGCGGATGACTCCCATGGAAATTATATGAGAGAAAGACAACAGTATTTGGGCAGTGGTGCATCCAAAGAGACACAAACACACGTGTGTGTGTGTGTGAAAGAGAGAGATTATCTTCGTCAATTTGAAATGTCTCTAATTCTGGGTGAGATCTCATAGCAAGATTTCATGTAGGATTGAAGTTGTCTTGTGTAGGTAGCCTAGATTCAAATATTTCAATTTGAATCATAATCAATTTGTTTGTATAGAACACTAACCATAATCGTCCCATAATCAACCCTGATTTGGCCTATATTCTCAAATTTCCATCTAACTTTAGCATAACCCTAGATCCATCGACTCGTTACCCAACCTAACCTTAGATTCTTAAACTCAAAACTCAAACCAAAATAACTTCTCATTTTTTTATGTGATTATCCATTAATTGTGCATGTATTGTTGAGTTATCTAGCTAATTACATTGGGTAAGATAATTAATTGTGCCTGTCCTTTGTAGTGTTTGTCCATTTTGCAAATAAACTAGTCAATTTGAAGACTTGAAAGGGCGAATGCATGAAGGGGAGAAAATCTAGAGGACTTTGAATATAAAAAGGGAATAATTGAAGCCTTGCATTTGGACGGTTTAGAAAGAGAGTCTGGACGGTTGGAAATACACGTCCAGATGCGATAAGTAGCAACGGTCGCTAAGACAAAGCAGTGAGTCCAAACAATCCAAAACGCGCGTCTGGATGCAATGGACAGATCGGTTAGGAACGAGTCTTTGACTCTATTTAGGTTTTTTTGGTTCTCTATATAAACACTTGTAAACCCTAATTGTCTCATTAATCTCGATTCATATCATTATTGTCATTTAACAACTAATATTAGTTATTAATGAATATCATATGGTAGGTTATAATATTTTTAACGAGTTTAGTATTAAAAATACAATGACTTTATTTTGTGAAAAAATAAAAAAAAAATCATACAAGACAAATAATTTATGTGGTTCGGCTAATAGCCTACGTCCATGACAACAATAATCAAAATTTTTCACTATAGAATAGAACATGAATGCAAGATAGTTATTTCTAACCTCACAAGTACTCACTCCAATCAGACACGATCATTCTAATATCTCTCAAAAACCTCACAACTTGAATGTTTCTCCAAACACTCAAATGCTTGAACTTATTCAAGACTTTGATCCTTGAACTCCTGTCAGGACCTCTCCTTGTATATGCAAATGAGATGAGCTACCAAACAAAACCTCATATCTACAAACTCATGCCACACTAGCTTCAAGACTTTTGAGCCTTCTTTTTCCAAAGACTTATCCAAAAACCTTATCTCTTGGCTAAGCTTTAACCCTTTCTGGCCAAAAGTTAACAACCTAAACATAAATTTGGTATTATAATTATAGATTTATACATTATTCTAACCTTGATCCAATCTTGTTACACAAAGGAGATGATCAAATAGTACTCTTATTAATACCATTTGTATGGATTGGATAGGAATTAATTATCCAATCTCATCCTTGTTTGCACCCGAACCAAACATGCCCAAAAGATTCCATCTTGAAGCAATTGTAAAGACTTGTACATAGTGCTTCCTACACTAATACATATTTCCCGCAATTTGAACCCTAGCTACTTGTGATGGAAAGATATGTAGTGAAAACAGTGTAGGTGTAGGGTATATGTAGTGGGATGAGACCTTTCAGTATGCATAATGCTATAGCTTTAATAATGTATCACCCAAATGTACGTCGTCGCGAGTAATAAAACTTAGAAGTCTGAGGGCGTTCCATAGGAAATTGATGAATAACTCAAAACGCAAAGAAAAATTAAGATAAAATTTCTTTGGTAATGGTTCGGAAAATTGGTTGTTCAAGAAAACGGTAAATGTTGGGTTTAAAAAGTAATTTGGAAAACTAAAATATTGGGGATCCCTTTCCAACTCCACACAGTAATTATTTATGATTCGATTTTTGAACTCAATTTATAATTAGTTGATGAGTGATCTTAATCGGAATATGTAGCGATGATAATATTGAAAACATATTCAAAGATATAATTGATAAATTGCTTGAATAAAGATTTGTATTTAATTATAGATCACAAGTATTAATCGTACCCGGAGTCAACAATGAATCAAGTTCTGTGATAATTAAAAAATTTTTATTACAAATAATAATTTATTTATTTTTATGAAAAATTCCAATTAATTGATTCAATCATGCAAAACCAGTATTTGACTCGTAGAGAATCTAAAGTATTCAATGTACGTGGTACAACGAATTAAGAAATTTTAATGAACAGAAACTTTACTAAAATACTTGAATTAATTTAAAAAAAATCATACATTAAATAAAAATTGATCAAAAATAATTATAGTACTTTGTCAAAATAGTCATCCCTAACTTTAGTTGGGAATTTAACAATCCATATAAAAGAACAAACTATAACTCAATCCAATTATTCAAATTTGATATTATATTATCTTTGGATTAAATTAATCTAATCTCATATTTTAATATCTAAATCAAACATGCCCTTGAGGTAATGTTAAGTTCTAGTCTTCTGGACCTTTGTTTTGATTGTGGTTCTAATAGTCAAATTTGGTAACTTTTTCTCTTCTTATTAACCCCGCAAGGAATTTTTTTTTGAAATTTTGATATTGATTGAAACATATTAGTTTTATATCAAATTCTGTGACCGTGAAAGAAACAAAAGAAAGAAAGAAATATATATAAAAAAAGAGAAAAACTAAAAAATTTAAACTAAAAATCTAAGTGATATTTAAGTCTCTTAGAGCACTCAGTTATTCTCTTGGGCACATACATGCACCTAAAAATCTACTAGGCATCTTAGAGCACGAGTGACCCCAAGAAAGAGACTTCAATTCAAAAGTTCCGACTCTTTGATAACCACTATGTATATCCTTTGGAAGTAGAAAACCACTACGTTTTATGTTCAAATTGCATGATCTAAACTTGTTTATTCACTTCCAAACATTATCTATAGTAGATTGGAAGGCTCAGGTTAACCCAAAGGGGTGGCTTAAGTGGTAACAGAGACGAGCTGTAAATCTAGATGTCTTGAGTTCAAATTTTAGCAACCTTAGGGTCAGGTCATGAGGGTTTTATCTCTCATGAATACCCTAGTCTCGACGTAGATGATTTTCCTTTGATTAGACTGAGGATAAAATTAGTCGAGACATGCATAAACTAATCCAGACACCCTTGACTGTTGAACTAAAATAAGTAAGAAAGAAGGCTTAGATTGACCTCAACTTAGTTGGGATTAAACTTGAATTCCCTATCAATTTTACAATGTAGAGAAAATCTATTGTACCCTCAATTTGGAACAAGTTATGATCTAATAATGCTTTAACATTTAGAGTGGACTTTAAAAGTTGGAAT